CATGAATAAGCCAGGATGGTAGCTGTGCATGCCCCGGCTTCTCAATTCTCTTCAATTATGTGTTGTGTTTATGTAGCTTTGACCTGGGCTCCTGCCATTAAGAAACACACTGGTGATGCTCACAATAAGGGTGATAGGAGAATCGCCCACTCCACCCCTCCACACCGGCTTGCCTGCAACTTTCTAGAAGTTTCTTGAAAGTTATTCCACTCTCAGGGGTGAGATCTATGCGATAAAAGCTCCAAAGCCAGCAGGAGGAGGCTGAGATCGGGAGGATCGTGGTTTAAAGCGAGCCCCCCGGCAGGAAAGTCCATGAGCATGAAGCAGCAAAAAGGCAGGATGGGGCCATGGTTCAAGTGGTGAAGCACCAGTCGGGAACACACACACACACAAGACAGGGTAGAGCGGCGCAGGGCCTGAGCTCGAGGCCCAGGAGTGGAGCAAAGGCAGGATGCCGCCCAGCGCCCACAGGTGGCCAGCGATCCAGGGAGTGTGCGCATGCGCGCCGTGCCCCCCCCTCCTCCCCCCCCCCCCCCCCCCCCCCGCCCTTCCCGCCTCGCCTCCTGCACCGCGAGCGCCTCATCCGGGTACCGCACCAACTCTGGTCCCGCCTTCATTCAGCCCACCTCGCCTTCTCATTGGCCGCTACGCCAAACCGATGAGACCGGCCCACAAACGCGAGGAATCTGTCTGCGCATGCGCGGGGCCAAGCAAAGGGCCCCCTCCCCTCTGGCCTCCTCGCCCGCCTCCCGTTCAGCTCGCATTCTCATTGGCCAGTGAGCCGATGGGCTGAGACCTACCAGACGCGAGGACTCTGCTACGGCGCATGCGCGGGAAGCCCCGACTGCCGGAAATGGAAACACCCATCCAGGCAACTTCCACCCATCTGGCCCGCCTCCCCCCCTCGGCCGTCGCCTCTGATTGGCTGGAGGCGGGCTATATATGAGCGTCACTTCCGGCCGCCAGTCCTTTCCGCGCTACCCGGGCCGGGCTCCATGCGGCGTTGTTCTGGGTGAGTGCGTGTTTTTCTTTGTTCTCCTCCGCGACGTTTCCCGTCCCCCTCCCCGCGGCTCCCCTGACTCCCACCGTGCGGGAAAGGTGGTGTGGAGGGGCGCGGGCGCCGCGGGGAGCGCGGGCCCGGCCGGCGCGGCCTGCACGTGCCCGGCCCGCACTGCGCAGGCGCGGAGCCCGCGGACGCGCCCCGAGCTCCTCGCTTACCCCCGCGGCCCCAGCCCTGGGCTCCCCCGCGCGGTCCACGCCGCGCGCTCCGCGATCGGCTTCATCTCGGGTGGTGGTTTCCACGCGAGCCCTCCAGGGCCTGCAAGGCGATCGTTTCGGTGGCATTTTTGAGCCGTTTCCCGCAGCTCCGCGACAGCTAAAGCTTAGTTACCCCAGGAAGAGTTAACTTCCCCGGCGAATGTAGTGATGATTCAGGCACACCTTACAGCCCCAGAAAGCGGGGAGAAGAAACCCCGAAGCAGGCTTGTGCTCCCCGGGCTCCGTTCCCTGTGCACCCTCACACCGATGAGACTCGGCTCCTGGGTTCTCTGCTGGCTGGTTCTGTTGGGGGTCCGCTTAATAGCTGGGGTAGCGCCTCCCCCCCATTTGGGTGCAGGTTCTTCAGGTCTGGGAGGTATCCTATTGTCTCGATTACAAGCAGGAGTGCTTTGTACAACTTGTTTCTGGCTTACTTTTGAAGAACGTAAAAATACATAGCACCTAACAGCCATTTTCGCATCTGTACCTTTGCTTGCTAAAAACTCTGCTAAACCCTCGAGGAGTGGAGTGAAAGAGGCAGAAAACTGGACTTGCCCTCATCAAAGTAGGCAAGCACCCCCTGAATGAATTTACTAAAAAGGCATGGAGTAACACTAATGCTTAATGTAATAGAAATTAGAAGTTATGATTACTAGCTGCTCATTGTTGCTTCTGTACAAATTGCTTTGTGCTAGATGATTTTATGGGTTTTGTATGATTTTAAAAGACTTCAAAGGCTTTACAGCCTAGACCAAGAGCGAAAAGTCCTCAGAATTATCCCCACAGCTGCAACGCCCCTCCTGGAGGCCCGGGCAGTAAGGCCCTAGGGAAGAAATATAATTTTTTTTTGTGGGGGGGCGGTCAGGTTGTGGGGCCTGAACTCTGGGCCTGGGCGCTGTCCCTCAGCTCTTCAGCTCAAGGCTAGTGCTCTACCACTTGAGCCACAGCGCCACTTCCGGCTTTTTTCTTTTTGCTTCTGTGGTGCTGAGGAATAGAACCCAGGGCCTCAAGCATGCAAGGCAAGTGCTCTACCGCTGAGCCACCTTCCCAGCCCAAGAAATATAATGTTTTCAGAAACCTAAGCAACTCCATTTTTGTTTAACACTCCATCTCAGTTCTGCGACTTGACTCGTGATCCACTTTAGCTCCAATGCTAGGAATTTATGACAGAAAGCCATGCACAATTCTTGGAGCCATAGATGGCGTTTGCTTAAGGCAAGTGTTAGACCCCAAGTGGTGTTGCTCCCCAGCCACCTAGGACTAAGAGTTTCTAACCAACCAGTTCTTCAGAGCCCAGGGCAAGCCTTGCCATGCATTCTGTTGGTCCAGGTGTGACTCATTACCGTTTTCCATCAAGCTATGGACCAAGGACCTTTTTCTGTAAAGGTCAACCAATCATATTTGCCCAGCTTAGCTTGCTTTAAATGTTAACCAGTCATGTAATTTCTTATGTAAAAGTTCCTTTAAAAGTTAGTTTGTTCAATACTATAAAAACCGTGCTGATTTGTATGCTCAGGGCATCTTAGCGTCACCGGTTACCGTGCTTGATCGTGGTCTCTGGGGGTCTTCTGGTGGTCCCCAAATTCCGGTATAACACCTTCACCAGGATTCGTTCCTTTTACTTTTTGCCTGTCTTGGTGCTTGAACTCGGGCCTGGGCACTGTTCCTGATCTGACTTTCTTTTGCTCAAATTGGCGCTCTCCCACTAGAGCCACAGTGCCACTTAGGCCTCTTGATGTGGGTGGTGGGTCCTGAGGAATCCAGCTTCGTGCACCCAAGTACTCTGCCACTAAGCCACCTTCCGAGCCTCACATGTATGTATCTGTGTGTGGTGGTCGTATTTTCATTCTTTATTATCTGGGCTGTGTTCATAACTCAGCTGTGGTGAGCGCAGCAGCAGTGCATGTGGATTTTCCAATAACCACAGCTCCACTTCTGGCTTTTTGATGGCCCATTGGGCAGGAGTCTCTTGGGTTCTAACTGCCCTGGCTGACTTCTTAGAACCTTGAACCTCAGATCTTCATCTCCTAGGTAGCTGGGGTTACAGGTGTGGGCCAAGATACCTGACTTCAGAATTTCTATGAAACTAACACTCAGCATACCTTGGGCATGTTTTCTTCCAGGTTCCCATCGTAACTTCCAAGGGAAACTAACACGATGTCCGGAGCCCTGGATGTCCTGCAGATGAAGGAGGAGGATGTGCTCAAGTTCCTGGCGGCGGGCACGCACCTGGGCGCCACCAACCTGGACTTCCAGATGGAGCAGTACATCTACAAGAGGAAGACCGACGGTGCGTCCCTCCTCCCCCTCTTCCTCCCCCTCCCGCGCTATCCCTGGGCTCCATAACTCAAGGCTAGTGCTCTAGGCGCCACAGCACCAGAGTTAGTCTCCTGGACTATTCTGGCCTCAAATCCTGTTCCTCAGATCGCAGCCTCCTGACAATTGGGACAAGTGTCCTGCTCACTAGATGCTGTGCTTCTTGGAGCCTGCTGATTAGACAGTGGGATTAGAGGCGGGGCTCTGGTGCAAAAGGATGGGAGGTACTTGATTGGACGGTGGGCCTGGGGGCGGGGCTTGGGGGGCAGCACACTGTTAAAGCCTGGTGGAGGCCCGTGTGGCCCATGAACCCCAGGTGTCGGAGGTGTGCCACAGCAACGCAGGACTCTCGCTGACCCCACGAGAGCTCCGATCTGTGACTGGCGGTGATAGTGTCTCCTGCAACACCACGTGAACTTTCTAGAAAACTCGGGTGGGGGAGGCTTGCTTACTCACCTTCCCCCGGCTCCCCCCCCCCCCCCCCCCACAGGCATCTACATCATTAACCTGAAGCGGACATGGGAGAAGCTGCTGCTGGCCGCACGCGCTATTGTGGCCATCGAGAACCCCGCGGACGTGAGCGTCATCTCCTCCCGCAACACCGGACAGGTGCCACCACCCCAGCACATGCACACAGGCTGGCACTGGGGGACGAGGGGTAAAGGGCAGAGGCAGAGCTGGGGACTGTCCTGGGGGCTGCTTACATTGCTCCAGGCTGGGGCTCTGATCTTCAGGTCTTCATCTCCTGAGTAGCTGGGATTACAGGCATGCGCTACTCGTGTCTGCCCAGGAGGCAGAGGGAGGTCTAAGGTGGACCGTTGGGAACCTGTTGGGCTGATCTCTGGCTAACTACCCACAATGCCCCTTGGGCAGTTGATGGGAGGGGGAGAGGGCGAGGTCCCCAGGCTGTGAGGTCAGGTCCTGGGAGCATGGTTCACAGGATTGAGATACCTGGGCTGAAGCTCTGCCTTTGATTCTGTGCAGCGCGCCGTGCTGAAGTTTGCAGCTGCCACGGGCGCCACCCCGATCGCCGGCCGCTTCACCCCCGGAACCTTCACCAACCAGATCCAGGCGGCCTTCCGCGAGCCCCGCCTGCTGGTGGTGACGGACCCCCGGGCCGACCACCAGCCACTCACGGAGGCGTCCTACGTCAACCTGCCCACCATCGCGCTGTGCAACACCGACTCCCCACTGCGCTACGTGGACATCGCCATCCCGTGCAACAACAAGGTAGCGGGGATCCCTCCTTCCTTCTCCGCTCCCCCACCCATCCAGCCCCCACGCACATTGTTAGAGCTTGGAACCAGGGTCGCTGAGTGGCCCAGGGGTTCTCAAGTGTAGGTAGTGTGCCACACGAGGGGCGAGGCGTTCGCTAGCACTCCGTCCTCCTCTGTGGACGGGGCTTGCTAGTAGTCCTTGCTACAGGCTCTAATGCTTCCTGTTGGGATGGATTGTCTGATTTTAGGGAATCGCGATTTCCATGTAGGTTTTGCTTTTGGTCTGCCTGTGCTTAAACTCGGCCTGGGTGCTGTCCCTGAGCTGTGTGTGCTTAGGGCTGGGGTTCGGGCCCTTTGAGCAAAACAAAATGTGGCGCCACTTCTGGTTTTCTGGTGGTTCATTGGAGAGACAAGCCTCAAGGACATTCCTGCCTGGGCTGGCCTCGAACTACGATCCCCTGGATCTCAGCCTCCTGAGTAGCTGGAATGACTGGCTTCTGCCTCGTTGTTGCTATGTACCTCCTTCCCAGGCAAGCGGGCGGTCGGGCTGTTTGGGGACCCAACCGCTCCCCGGTCCCTCTACAGGGCGCGCACTCCGTGGGTCTCATGTGGTGGATGCTGGCCCGGGAAGTTCTGCGCATGCGCGGCACCATCTCCCGCGAGCACCCGTGGGAGGTCATGCCGGACCTCTATTTCTACCGGGACCCCGAGGAGGTGAGCATGCTCCCTGGCCCGATGTGCCCTCCCCTGCCACCCATCCTCCCGCCCCCTTCCTGACCTCCCCCCTCCCCCCCGTGTCCGATCACAGATTGAGAAGGAGGAGCAGGCCGCAGCCGAGAAGGCCGTCACCAAGGAGGAGTTCCAGGGCGAGTGGACCGCGCCTGCGCCCGAGTTCACAGCCACGCAGCCCGAGGTGGCCGACTGGTCCGAGGGGGTGCAGGTGCCCTCCGTGCCCATCCAGCAGTTCCCCACCGGTACGTGCACGCCCTTACCTCTTCCGGCTTTTTTACTGCTTCATGGGAGATTGGGTTGTTTTTTTTTTTCCTGCAATAGCTGATAGAAATGAGGTCCTCAGGCCGCAGCCTCCTGACAACGCCGGGATTGCAGGCATGCACTGTACGACCTGGCGGGAGCGCTAGGGGTTTATTAATACGTGATGTTCTGGCCAAAAGTCCTTATCCATCCCCAGGGCTGACGGGGTTTTTGTGGTTTCTCCGCAGAGGATTGGAGCGCCCAGCCCGCCACGGAAGATTGGTCAGCGGCACCCACGGCCCAGGCCACGGAGTGGGTAGGGACCACTCCCGAGTGGTCCTGAACGCACTACTTGCGCACTTGGGAAAGGTGAAGAGAAAGGGGATGCAAAATAAATCTGGATTTCTAAAAGCGCTCTCGACGGTTCTTGCACTGGTAGATGCGCCATGCACGGGGCGGGGCCGTGCTCCTATTTATACCTAGCCTGCCACCCCTGCCCTCCAGGGCTCCCATTGGCTGAGCTCAGGTTCCCCGTCAGCTTGTGATTGGCTGGTGTAAATAGGGCAAAGCGCATCTGCACTTGGAATTGACATGGGGGGTACAGGACTGGGAATGTGGCTCTGTGAGTGTGAGTTCAAGCCCCAGGACTGACTGGCAAACCAAAAGATGGAAGGGACAGAAGGAATATGTGTCCACACCCTGTGCTGTTCTAACAGCCCACAGTGTGGCTATGGCTACACCTTCAACTTCCGGGCTCCTTGTGAACTGTCTTGGCTGTGAAAAAGCAGGGTTCCAAACCAGCCTGGGAAGGAAAGTGTGGGAGACTTGGAAGCTCCCGGTTACCCACCAAGGAGCTACAAGTACAGCTGTGGCTCAAGTGGTAAAACACCAGAACCTGTCTTGAGTTGTCTTTTGAGTTCAAGTCCCAGTTCTAACACAAAACTGCTAGTATTTAAATACCTAAAATGGCTTTTAAAATGTCATTTTATTAGGTTTACACAGAGCAGTTAGCCTTTCATATAAAAGGTAAGTACATTCTGTTTTGGGGGGCAGTGTCACCCCTTCCTTGCTTTCCCCCACGTACCATTCCTGCCCACAGGTCAGGCAATTTTTGTGAAAAACTATACATCATAAAAGACAATTCCATAGTCAGGGCATACACCAACATAAATCACGCTTTCCTGTAATCTAGACCATGGTACCCCAGCTTCAGTGATAACCCAGTATGTGCTAGTATAAAACAAGCCTCAGGTATGGCTTTCTACTCCTTGAACCATGTTTCTGTGCTGGCTTTTTGCTGGTTCATCCGAAGTGAGGGGCTCAGGTTCGCTGGCCTGGCTTCAAACCACAATCATAAACTCTCTGCCTTTGGGGCCGCCAGTTCCTGGCAGACGTTGATCAGCCGTCCCTGCTCAAAGCCATCGTTTCTGGAAACTTCCAAAATTCATCCATGCCTAGATGAATTCATCTTTCTTGGGCCAATGCCCCGGCGTTGAGTAAAACCATCTTAGCAATTGGTCCAAGTGTCTTGGCTGTTGGCATTTTCTTGAGACTTTTGTGTCTAAGCCAATACTGTTTGGTGGCCAGTCCAATCTAGTCATCTAAATTGCTCACACTGTCCAAGCCTTTATCATATCACCCATCATGCATTGCTTGATATCCCCACCCGTGGAGTGGCTTTATTCCTGTGGAGATTTTTCTATTCCCCTTAGAAATCTAAATTGTACCCCTTATTCTCTACTGCTAGTGGAACTGCTCCAGCCGTGTGTTTTGGGGTCAGGCAGGTCCTCTAGGCACCCTGCTGTACTCGCAGCCGTGGAGAGAGGCCGAGGGCTGGAGGCTGGCCTGGACTACATAGCAAGACCCTGTCAGGCAGCCACTCCCTGTCCCCCGTGAGGCTTCCTTCCTTCACCTGGACGCCGCTTGAGAAACCCAGACCTTTTCTTCAAGGCTGGGGGGGCTGGGGGCTGGGGTACTGCAGGGACACCCTCTTTTCACATCACATACATCCACCCAGCAGCCCCTCCTGGGCCAAATCTGGACCAAGGCGTCGCCACGAGAAAGTGAAGTCGTCTTCATTCAACAAATACTTAGCTGAGCACCTACTTAGCACAGGAGTGGGATTTGACCTTGGGTCCTAGTTGGCTCCCTCGCCACAGGAGCCCAAGAGAAGCCCCATTCTGTGGGGAAAGGGCTGAGGGTAATGAGACACCCCCCCCCAGGTGAGGGTCAGGCTACAGAAAATGGGGTGCACCTGCCTCCAGCTGTTTTCTGCGAAGGAGAATAAAGCTTGAGCAGAAACTGCCTCCTCCTCCTCCCTCTACAACTTCTTGGAAAAGCAGAGACCTAAGAAATGCCCTCCCCTCACTTTGGGGGAGGGGGAGGTGTGAGGCTTGACTCAGTTTCCCCTGGTACCAAAACGTGGCCCAATATGACCAATATCCATCATCATATACCCGGATGGATGGCCCTCTTGTCCCCCCGCTTTGGTGAAGGCCCTCGGGATTTCTTTCCCATCCTGTATCACGAGCCCCTTCCATTTGGGATTTGCAACAACAACAAAAAAAAGTGAAGAGCCTTGAGGAATTTGACATTTGTTTCCAAAAGGGGAAAAAAAAAATCCCTTTGGGTCCCTTCCAATATTGTTCGGCAAAAAACAAAACCAATAAGGAAGTATTCCTCCTCTTCCTCTCTTAGGATGCAGAGATGACAGGAAAAAACCAACAACCAAAGCCCAACTCTCACCTTCAGTGTGCACAACGTGGGGGAAAAACAGGCCTGAGCTCCACAGGAGGGGAGAGCCAAAGAAAAGATAGAAAGATGCTAAAGTCCAAACATTAAAAACAAGAAAAAAAAAACAATGTCGGTGGAGTTCTCACAGAAGAAAGGATAAAAAAGAACAGGGAATGGGAAGAAAGAAAAAAAATCGGTATCAGAGCCAAGGCCGAGAATTTTCTGAATTGTTTTTTTTTTTCCTTCTTGTGGATCCATCGATTCGAGAATTCCCCAATGTGGATGGATTAATTAACATCAGGGTTCATCATTTGATTCCACCATAAAAGAATTGTAACACAAATAAGAAGAGAACAACAACGGGCGGGGGGTTGGGGGGGGGGGGAGAATAAAGTTAGGACAGGGAAAAGGAACTCGAACCTCCTGTTAACATAGGAGCAGCTCTGGCTGGGTTTGTGGTTGTGAAGGACACAGCTTGGAAAAGCCCAGAAAACTGACCTGCGCCGAGATTCTCTCTCTGGACTTTTTCTGACTCAATCTGTAAAAGACAAACATTTCCAGCTATCTAGATCTGTAGGTCCAGGCCTGAAGGATCTAGAATTTGGGGTGTGTGTGTGCAAAGGACCTGTCAAGTTTCTACATACACACACACACACACCTGCGAGCAAAAGAAATTTATGGCAGGCGGAGCGGCTAAAAAACAAGATCCTTCTATGCTGGAGTGGAAAATTCTAGATGCCTTTCCTCTAAAATCAGAAACAAGACACATAGGACACCCAGGCTCCCGGCCACTGCCTTCCAGCTCAAGAAGGAACGTTAGTAGACAACGCAGTAAGACAAGAATAGCAAATGGAAAGAAAAAATAACTACCCGACATTGCAACGTAAGTTGGAAGAATGTCTAGCGAGACATGTTAGAGAGGCTCTCGACAATTCAAACCCAAGCCACGCGTGTGCACCATCTGCTCCGGGCTCTACTTGGAATCCAAGACCCACGTGTGCAAACCAAGCACGCACGTGGGAAGATCCAAAGCCAAACTACAGGCGAGCCAGAAGACAGCTTGGCATCCGTGGGATATCAGCAGTATTCCCACGGTTTCCCCAGGAAATGTATAATGTGAAAAACTTTATTGAAGGAAAATACATGGCATGTGTGCCATGGTGAGGTGGGTTTTTTTTTTTTGGGGGGGGGGATAATTTGTCCCTTTTAGAGAAAAGTTCTACAAGAAAAAGGAAAATACAGGAGCCATGGCTGACTTTCTTTGATCTGATGGTGAGATCTATTCGAGAAGAAAAAAAAGACGAACCAAGACAACAAAGGCTTCATTTGCCAAGAAAAGAAAAATGACTGAAGTCACTGTTCTTGATTGGCCAGATGTCTGCCTCTCCCCGGGGAGGGAGAAGCTGGCTGAGTCGCTTATGTTACTCAGCCTTCAGTGAACGGACTGGCATAGCTGCTGCTGCTTGTAGTTCCTGCCATACCAGGTACTCGGGAAGGCTGAAAAC